CACTGTGCTATGGGTGCTGAGCCTAATGGATGGTCTTTGATCCTCCAGTTCCTGAGACAGAGCTCCTAAGAAGACCTTTGTCATTTCCTGAGTGATAACATCTGACACAGAGTTCCTAAATCCTCTGGAATTTCCTGGGTAAGAGGAGTATGTTGTATTCTTGTGAGGTAACTCTTGGGCTCCTGGTAGCCTCAAGATGGGGAATGAGCCATGTCATCAGAGGGAGCCTTCAGCCCTACCCCACCCCCACCTCTAGGGAGGAGAAAGGGGCTGAAGGTTGAGTTATTAATCCCCAATGACCAGTGACATAATCAATCATGCCTACATAATGAAGTCTCCATAAAACCCCAAAAGGACAGAGCTCAGAGTGCTTCCAGACAGCTGAATACTGGGTGTTACTGGAGGATGGGTCCACGCCCCTTCCCATGTGTCACCCCATGTATGTATCTCTTCAGCCGGCTGTTCATCTGTGTCATTAATTATATCCTTTGTAACAAACCAGTAGGTATATCGAGCATTTCTCCAAAACCGTGAGCCTCTCTAGCCAATTAACTGAACTCAAGGAAGGGGCCATAAAAACCCCATCTTACAGCTCACATCAGAAGTAGAGGTGACAGCGGCGTCACCCTTATTTGCAACTGGCATCTGAAGTAGGGGACAGTCCTGTGGGACTGAGCCTACAATCTATAGGATCTGACACTATTTCCCAGTAGACAGTGTCTGCGCTGAATGGAATTAGAGGATACTCAGCTCGTGTCTGCTGGAGAACTGCTAGGTGTGTGGGGAAAACCCTATATATCTGGTGTCGGAAACACTGTACTGAGTGGTGTATGAAAGTAGGAAAAAAGTTTGTTTTCCCTTCAAAGACATTAAACAAAATAATCTCACGATGAATGTATAGTTACCAAGTGAAGCAAGGGAGGGACAGGAAAGAACTTTAACTTTGAAAGGTTTGCTTTGTCCTCTTCACACCTACTAGAATGGCTAAAATCAAAAAGACAGGCTGGGTTCGATGGCTCCCTGGTATACTCCCAGTACTCTGGGAGGCCAAGGCAGGTGGACTGCTTGAGCTCAGGAGTTTGAGACCAGCCTGAGCAAGAGTGAGACCCTGTCTCTACTAAAATAGAAAAACAAGCTGGGCATTGAGGTGGGTGCCTATAGTTCCAGCTACTTGGGAGGCTGAGGTAGGAAGATCATTTGAGCTCAAGACTTTGAGGTTGCTGCTATGAGCTATGATGATGCCACAGCACTCTACTCAGGGTGAGAGAGGGTGACAGAGTGAGACTCTGTCTCAAAAAAAAGGACAATGCCTATAGCACAGTGGTTATGGCGCCAGCCACATACACCAAGGCTGGAGGGTTCAAACCCCACCCAGGCCAGCTAAACAATGACAACTGTTCCTGGGCACTGTGGCAGGAACCTATAGTCCCAGCTACTTGGGAGGCTGAAGCAAGAGAATCACTTAAGCCCAAGAGTTTGAGGTTGCTGTGAGCTATGACACCACAGCACTCTACCGAGGGTGACATAGTGAGACTCTGTCTCAAAAAAAAAAAAAAAAGGACAACGACAATGGTGAGCATAGGGAAAGATTGGAACCCTTATAACTGCTGATGAAATATAAAATGATGCAGAATTTTAAAAGTTTACAAGTTCCTGAAAAAGTTAAATTCAGAGTTACCACATAACCCAAGGAAATTCACTCCTAGGTACATACCTGAGAAAGTAAAAAACACATCCACACAAAAACCTGCACACACAGCTTGGTGCCTGTAGCACAGTGGTTAGTGATAGACACATGCACTGAGGCTGATGGGTTTAAACCCTGTCCCGGCCTGCTAAACAACAATGACAACTGCAAGAAAAAAATAGCCGGGCACTGTGGCGGGCACCTGAAGAGCCAGCTACCTGGGAGGCCGAGGCAAGAGAATTGCTTAAGTCCAAGAGTCTGAGGTTGTAGTGAGCTGTAACGGCCACTGCACTCTACCGGGGGCAACATAATAAAACTCTGTCCCAAAAAAAAAAAAAAAAAACCTGCACAGAAATGTTAATATTCACGCAGCGCCTGTGGCTCAGTGAGTAGGGTGCCGCCCCATAAACCAAGAGTGGCGGGTTCAAACCTGCCCCAGCCAAACTGCAACAAAAAATAGCCGGGTGTTTTGGTGGGTGCCTGTGGTCCCAGCTACTCGGGAGGCTGAGGCAAAAGAATCACTTAAGCCCAAGAGCTAGAGGTTGCTGTGAGCTGTGACACTACAGTACTCTACCGAGGGTAAAAGAGTGAGACTCTGTCTCTTAAAAGAAAAAAAAAGAAAAAGAAAAAAAAGAACAGTGTGAGCAATTCAAATGTCCATCAACTATTCTTCCATAAAAAGGAACGAAACATTGATATATGCTACAACATGGAGAAACCCTGAGAGCCTTATGCTAAGTGACAAAAGCCAGTCACCAGTTGACGGACACTGGGTTGTTTCCACTTTGGGGCTATTATGGATTAATACTGCCATAAACAAACTTTTGAGTAGATATACAGGTACATGTTTTCTCTTGATTATGTACCTAGAAGTGGAACTGCTCGGTCATATGGTCTCCAATTTTTGTTTGGTTATTTGGGGTTTTTTTGTTTTATTTATTTACACACTCACTTTATCACACTCAGTAGAGTGCTCTGGCATCACGACTCACAGCAAACTCAAACTTTTGGGCTCAAGCCTTAGTCTCCCAAGTAGCTGGGACTATAGGTGCCTATCACAATACTTGGCTATTTTTAGAGACAGGGATCTTAATCTGGCTCAGGTTGGTCTTGAACCCATGAGCTCAGGCAATCCTTAAATGCCTTAGCCTCCCAGAGTGTTAGGAATACAGGTATGAGCCACCATACCAGGCCAATTTATTTAATTTTTTTGAGACAGTCTCACTTTGGTGCCCTTAGTAGAGCGCCATGGCATCGTACCTCACAATAACCTCAAACTCTTGGGCTCAAGCAATCCTCTTGCCTCAGTTTTTCATTTTTATTTTATTTTATTTTTTTCCTTGAGACAGAGCCTCAAGCTGTCCCCCTGGATAGAGTGCTGTGGCATCACAGCTCACAGCAACCTCCAACTCCTGGGCTCAAGCAAGTCTCCTGCCTCCGCCTCCCAAGTAGCTGGGACCACAGGCGCCCGCCACAACGCCCGGCTACTTTTTGGTTGCAGCCATCATTGTTGTTTGGTGGGTCCAGGCTGGATTCGAACCCACCACCTTAGGTATATGTGGCTGGCACCTTAGCCACTGGAGCCACAGGCGCCGAGCCCAGTTTTTCATGTTTAGTAGAGACAGGGTCTCACTGTTGCTCAGGCTGGTCTCGAACTCATGAGTGCAAACAATCTACCCATTTCAGCCTCCCAGAGTGCTAGGATTACAGGTGTGAGCCATGGGGCCTGGCTTTGTTTTTTATTTTGTTTTTGAGACAGTCTCACTCTGTTGCCCAGGGTAGAGAGCTATGTTATCAGTCTAGCCCACAGCAACCTCAAACTCCTAGGCTCAAGTGATCCTCCTGCCTCAGCCTCCCAAGTAGCTGGGACTACAGCCATGCACCACCCAGCCTGGCTAATAGCATTCCTCCCACTTCAGCATCTCAAAGTGCTGGAATTATAGGTGGTGGGCCACCACCCCCGGCCTCACTGTGGTTTTAATGTCCATGTCTCTGAGGGCTGATGTTGTTGAGCATCTTTTCACATGCCTAGGCCCTTCTATTTTTATTTATTATTTATTTATTTTTATTGTTGGAGATTCACTGAGAGTACAAAGAACTAGGTTACACTGCTTGCATTTGTTAGGTAAAGTCCCTCTAAGTCCTATTATTTTTATTTAATTCATTTTATTACTATGTCTAGTTAATTTTTTTTTTTTGGTAGAGATGACGTCTCAGTATGCTGCTTGGGTTGGTCTTGAACTCTTCGCCTCAAGCAATCTGCCTGCCTCTGCCTCCCAAAGTGCTGTGGTTACAAGTGTGAGCCATAGCGACCAACCCTCAGCCCTATTATTATCTTGGTATATTTCTACTCTCCTGCAATAGAATGTTGGCTTGGTCAGTGGCAGAGACTTTATCTGTTTTCATTCTGCTAATCTGTCCCCAGCGCCTAGAACAGCATTTGGTATTGCCAATACACATATGTGGACTAAATAAGTGGACAAATCCCCCACTTAAAGGCATAGATGGGTTAAGTCATCTGCCCAAGATCACACAGCTACGAAGTGACAGAGCAAGGGTGCAAACTCAGGCCCAAGTTCATTAATTATATTCCAAATAGGCTCGGCGCCTATAGCTCACCCGGCTAAGGCGCCAGCCACGTACACCTAAGGTGGCGGGTTCGAATCCCCAGCCCGGACCCGCCAAACAACAATGACGGCTGCAACCAAAAAATAGCCGGGCGTTGTGGCGGGTGCCTGTGGTCCCAGCTACTTGGGAGGCAGAGGCAGGAGACTCGCTTGAGCCCAGGAGTTGGAGGTTGCTGTGAGCTGTAATGCCACGGCACTCTACCCAGGGGGACAGCTTGAGGCTCTGTCTCAAAAAAAAAAAAAAAAAAAAATTATATTCCGAATAAATGAACAAACCTGGGTTAGGAAACAAAGCTGCACAAACACAGTCACAGCCCTAAGAAGAGCTGGGGCACCCTCAACCCACACATAGTTGTTGAATGAATGAATGGCACAGCAGAGGACAAAATGCCTAAAACTCAGACCTCCTGCTCCCTTCCAAAATCATCCCTGTACCAGTATTTCCCTCACCCCTCCAAAATCTCCAAGTTCCACTTCCCTATCTCCCTCCTCACCTGCCGGGGGCTCACAATGATGCTGTTGGATTTGGCCCCTGGTTTTGGAGCCTGGTTGGGGGTCTCTCCTGCCTGGGACTCTGACCCTGTAGGGTATGTGGCTCCAGCCCCTCCTGCAGGCCGTGAGATGGCATACTCAGCGTAGGTTTGAGGGGCCACCTGAGCTGAGGTATCCACAGCAGGAAGGCTCCGTGTAGACTTGAATAAGGGCTTGGCCTATGGGGAGAAAAGAACAGTGGAGGGGAACCTGGAGGAAACACATGAGCCCTTGCCTGTGTCAGTCCCCCTTCCTCAAGTTGGTCCATTCTCCTTCTTCCCCATGTCCCTTCCAGAGGCAATGCCATAAGGGCTGGGAACTCTGAATCCAGCCCCTTCTCCACACCTCCTCAGCCTCCACCCTGATCTCAGCCACCATATCTCTCCCTTGGATCAATGAAGTCACCTCCTCACCAACTCCCTGTCTACACCCTCACCCCTGCCACAGTCTGTGCCCTACAAGTCATCATGGCCCTCCTCTGTTCAGAGTTCTTGGGTAGCTCCTGCCTCAGAGTAAAACCCACAGCCCATGAGACTCTAGATCTGGCCCTGCCCCCTTGCCTCAGGGACTGTGCCTCCTACTACTTCCCCAGGTTTCTCAATTCCAGCTCCACTGGCCTCCAAACTTGTTAGGGTCTCTCTGACCTCAAGGCCTTTACAGTCTGTCCTCTCTGGAAAGATGCGTGCAGGGCTCACTCTCTCACCTCTTTCACATCTCTGCTGAGATGTCACTGCCTCGGCAAAGCCTTCCCTTGACCTTCCTATCTAAGGAATCCCCCCTTCTTGTTACACTGCCCATATCCTTCACCCACTTTCTTTTTCTTCACAGCATAAATGGCACCAGTTGATTGCTTTTCTGTGAGAAGGAGATTTTAGTGTTGGCAGATCCCTTGATTTACCAAAAGTTGTCAAAAGTATAGCCTTTCTTATTCTAATTGCAAACACTTCCAATTCTTAAAAGTCAACAATAAATTCACATCTTGAAAAAGCACGGTGGGAAATAGCTGGGCCTTGTGGCGGGTGCTGTACTCCCAGCTACTTGGGAGGCTGAGGCAAGAGAATCGCTTAAGCCCAAGAGTTGGAGGTTGCTGTGGGCTATGACGCCACAGCACTCTACTGTGGGCAACATAGTGAGACTCTGTCTCAAAATAAAATAAAAGCAGGGTGGGCGGCGCCTGTGGCTCAGTGGGTAGGGTGCCCACCCCATATACTGAGTGTGGCAGGTTCAAACCCAGCCCTGGCCAAACTTCAACAACAAAAAAAGAATAGCCAGGCGTTGTGGCAGGTGCCTACAGTCCCAGCTACACAGGCTGAGGAAAGAGAATCGCTTAGGCCCAGGAGAGCTGGAGGTTGCTGTGAGCTGTGTGACACCATGGCCCTCTACTGAGAGCAATGAAGTGAGACTCTGTCTCTACAAAAAAAAAAAAAAAAAAGAGCAGGGTGCTGGACACAATAAAACCCATCTCAGGACCACCTGCTAGTTACCAATCTATAGCCTCTTCCTTAGAAGGAAGAGGTGTTTGTTAGAACCACCCTACCTTTTTTTTTTTTTTGGTCGGGGCTGCGCTTGAACCCACTCTACCATTTTACAGATTGGAAACAGACCTGTAGGAGACAAAGGGCTGTTTTCCCGAGGGACTTTGGCTCTCACATATCCCAGTCAGTACTGTGGTCCCACAGGTCCTTTCTTGTCTCCTTACTCCCAACACCCCTAAGGCCCCCCCCATCTCCTCGTCCTACCACTGCAAGAGGGACCTCATCCTCGTCCAGTGGTATGACAAATTTCTTCCTTGTGGGTGGCCCTGCAGGCTGCCGCACTCCCTCTTGGTCCTTCCCAGGGTCCATCAGGAGCCTGAGAGAGAAGACGTGGCGACAGGAGCCAGTGAGACATCGGCATGTCCATTCCCTTCTCCCCCGCTGGTACGCAGAGTCGTACCGCCCCCAAATCCCGGGATTCCAGGGCCTCAAGCCGCAAACACTCAGCGCCCGAGGTTCCACAAAGCCTCGCCCACTGAATTGCCACCTCGGCTCGCCCCGCCCCTTGCTGGACCACAAACCCTTTCGCCCCGCCCCTAGTAAGCACCAGGTGGCATATGCTCCGCCCACACGGTCTCCCGCCTTCGGTTGTCCCAGCCTCCAGGGCTTGCCCCTAAACGCCCCCTCCCATCCGGCCTTGTACTTATCTGAGACACAGGAATGACTGGCTTCCGTACCTGCCCCTCTTGCCCCGGCCCCGCGGTCTCAGCACCACTAAGACTCACCTGCTTGCCTTGAGGAAAAGACCGGAGGGGACCGAGACGTCCTACCGCCAGTGCAGCTAGCGCGCCCCCGGATCGCCTCACTTCCGGCATCTCTGGCTCTCGGGCCCGCCCTCACCGCTCCCTCGGGAGAGAGGGGCGGTCCGTACTCAACTCTCTATGGTCCTGGAGGATCGCGAAAGTTTCGGGAGGTGAGAGGTTTAGAACTGGCTCCCAAGAGATTCAGTTCCATTGTCCCTATGAGAAACGTTGTGTAACCAAGCATCTGGGAGGACTCAGTGAAGAGACGACAGACGACCAGACCTGGTCCCTCCCTTCAGTACGGAGAGACTTGGTAGAATCTCAAAATAGGAGGGAAAGATTGACATTTGGTCAGTTCCAGGCACTTGGCTATGTCTATCTTACGTGGATTAAAGATATGATAGAATCAAAACTCAATCCCAATTCTGCAAATGACCTGGCCTCAGTTTCCCCATTCATTTATTTATTCCACATTGGTTGCCCAAGTGCCTCCTATGTTCCAGGCCCTGTGCTGGGCGGTACTAGTGACACAGCAGTGACCAACAACAGCCCTGCGCTGTTGCTCCCGGCACTTACGGTCCAGTGAGAGAGACAGGCGCGTTCACGTTTCCCAACAGTGAGGACCCAGGATGGATGACCTTGGAGGGCTGTGGGACTGGGGTCAGGGGACCACCTGACCCAGCCCGGGAGCCAGAAAGAGCTTCCTGGAGAAAGGGACATCTGAGCAGAGAGAGACCTGCTTGATGAGTTAGTATTAGTCATTTCCTGAGAGGATAGTATCACACTGTTCTACCTTGCAACTCTCTGATTACTAAGGAAATAGAACATTTTTTTGAGTTTATTGGTTCTATATATTTTGTCTTGTGAATTGCTTGCTCATATCCTTTGCCCATTTTTTAAATGGGTTGCATGCCTTTTATTATTAATTTGTAGGAGTACTTTATGGATTCCAATTCTAATTCTAATTCTTGTTACACATGTTGTAAATACTTCCTCCTAGTTTGTACTTCATGTTTTAACTTTATTTAGTTATTTTTGTCACAGAATTTTTTTTTTTTTTGAGACAGTCTCACTTTATCACCCTGGGTACAATGCTGTGGCGTCACAGCTCACAGCAACCTCAAACTCTTGGGCTTAAGGGATTCTGTTGCCTCAGCCTCCCAAGTAGCTGGGACTACAGGCGCCTTCCACAATGCCCGGCTATTTTTATTTTTTGTTGTTGTAGTGGTCATCATTATTGTTTGCCAGGCCCGGGCTGGGTTCGAACCTACCAGCTCTGGTGTCTGCAGCTGGCACCCTAGCTGCTGAGCCACAGGCACCAAGCCTGTCATAGAATTCTTAGTGTTTATTTGTACCTATTTTGTTCTGACTTTTGTATTTGGTGTGTTGAGAGCTGTGCCATAATTCAAAATCATAAGTATGTATTCTGTCATTTCTATTAATACTTTCTTAGTTTGATTTTATGTTAATCCATATAAGATAGACATAGCCAAGTGTCTCAAATTGACCAAATGTCAATCTTTCCCTCTCCTATTTTGACATTTGACATTCCACCTTTATCATGTACCAAATTCCCATATCCACATGGATCTATTTCTGACATTTCTTTTTTTTTTTTTTTTTTGAGACAGAGTCTTACTTTGTCATCTGTTGGCATCACAGCTCACAGCAACCTCAAACTCTCGGGCTTAAGCGATTCTCTGGCCTCAGCCTCCCAAGTAGCTGGAACTACAGGCACCTGCACAATGTCCGACTATTTTTTTTTTTTTTTGGTTGTAGTTGTCATTTTTTTTTGGCAGGCCCGGGCCAGGTTCAAACCGGCCAGCCCCAGTGTGTGGGGCCGGCGCTCTAACCACTGAGCTACCAGCGCTAAGCTGTGGCTAGTTTTTCTTTTTTCTTTCTTTTCTTTTCTTTTTTTTTTTTTTTGCAGTTTTTGGCCAGGGCTGGGCTTGAACCCGCCACCTCTGGCATATGGGGGTGGCGCCCTACTCCTTTGAGCCACAAGTGTCACCCATAGTTTTTCTATTTTTAATAGAGCCAGGGTCTGGCTCTTCCTAAGGCTGGTCTTGAACTCTTGAGGTCAAGCAAAAAGGCCTCCCAAACTGCTAGGATTACAGGCGTGAACCACTGGGCTTGGGCAAAAAATTATCTACTTCTTTTTACAACTTTTTTTTTCCTAAATTCATTTTATTTCTAGCTGGAATATCTTATCTACTGATTCTCTTTTTAATTTAATTTAATTTTATTTCCTGACCCACCAGGAGATCTCTACTGATTCTTTGAGAGAACAAGAGAACATCTGTGAATAGTAACTTTATGAATCTTGCTCATTTGAATTTTTTCTTTTTTTTTTTGAAACAGATTCTCACTCTGCCGCCCTCGGTAGAGTGCTGTGGCGTCACAGAGCCACAGCACCCTCTAACTCCTGGGCTCAAGCGATTCTCTTCTTTCAGTCTCCTGAGTAGCTGAAACTGCAGACGCCTGCCACAACGCCCGGCTATTTTGTTGTTGTTGTTGCAGTTTGGCCAGGGCTGAGTTTGAACCAGCCACCCTGGGTATATGGGGCCAGCGCCCTACTCACTGAGCCACAGGCACCACCCAGTGTTGTTGGTTTTTTTTTAAAACCCTTATTCAAAATTGTAATCTGGAATCCTGGTCCTTAGTTCTTTTTCTTGAAACATCAGAAGATATTTTTCTTTCTCCCTGATGAGACATCTGCAGTCCGCGTGATTCTTCTTTCTTCCTAGGCAATTTCATCACTAGATGTAATTTTTCCCCATGATTACCTACTAGCAGTGTGACTTTGGTTGAGCCAGCATCTTACTTCTCTATATGTGTCTGATTGCTTATCTCTAAAATGGGTATAGCAACAGTATAATTGTTAAGAGGATGAAATGAGTTAATATGTGTCGAGTGCTTAGAACTGTACTTTTTTTTTTTTTTTGAGACAGAGCCTCAAGCTCTCACCCTGGGTAGAGTGCTGTGCCATCACAGCTCACAGCAACCTCCGACTCCTGGGCTCAAGCGAGTCTCCTGCCTCCTCCTCCCAAGTAGCTGGGACTACAGGCGCCCACCACAACGCCTGGCTATTTTTTTGTTGCAGCCATCATCGTTGTTTGGTGGGTCCGGGTTGGATTCAAACCCGCCAGCTCAGGTGTATGTGGCTGGCACCTTAGCCGGTTGAACCACAGGCGCTGAGCCTAGAACTGTACTTGATACACAGTACAGGTCCATTAGGGTTTGTCAAAATAAATGAACAGCCTTTGACCAAGTACTGGGCAGGTAGAGACTGGAACTCTTGTGGCCATCATCACAGTGCCCCTGTTCAAGGCCTGGCACCCAGAAGGGGAAACTGACCCATGTGTCATGTGAATGAACAAAGAACAGAAGCTGAGCCCTAAATCAAGCAACTTCACCATTGTAAGCCCCAGTTTCCCCACCTGTAACAGCACAGGTTGTGAAGATTCAATAAGACTCAGAGTCCGGTCTTGAGACCGACTCATTCACTCATTCCTTGAATAACCTTCACATAGTAAGCACTGTACCAGTGCCTCAAACTCAATAGCAACCTCAAACTCTTGGGCTCAAGCCCTTCTCTTGTCTCAGCCTCCAAAGTATCTGGGACTACAGATGCCCACCACAACACCCGGCGATTTTTTAGAGACGAGGTCTCTCTCTGGCTCAGGCTAGTCTCCAACCTGTGAGCTCAGGCAATCCACCTGCCTTGGCCTCCCGGAGTGCTAGGATTACAGGCATGAGTTAGGCTCGGCACCTATAGCACAGTGGTCACGGCGCCAGCCACATACACCAAGGCTGGCAGGTTAGAACCCAACCTGGGACAGCTAAATAACAATGACAGCTGCAAGGAAAAATAGCTGGGCGTTGTGCGGGCGCCTGTAGTCCCAGCTACTTGGGAGGCTAAGGCAAGAGAATCAGTTAAGCCCAAGAGTTTGAGGTTGCTGTGAGCTTGACGCCATGGCACTCTACCAAGGGCAACATAGTGAGACTCTGTCTAAAAAAAAAAAAAAATTAGCCCTGCACAGTGGTGTCAGTCTGTAATGCCAGCTATTTGCGAGGCTGAGCCCAGGAGTTCAAGGATGCAGTGAGCTTTGATTACACCACTGCATTCCACCCTGGGCAACAGACCAATACCCTATCTCTAAAAATATGTATACAGATAGCCATATATACTATGAAGAAGATAAAACACAGTGCTGTGATAGAGGTGATGGGGGAGGAGAGCCACACTGTCACAGAAAGTGGGCTTTGTGAATAATTAATCCCTCCATGAACTAAAAATTGATTGCACTCTCACTAAGTACTAAAGCCTCACAATAACCCACCCCTTCAGCTATCATTGGCCCATTTGACAGATGAGGGAACTGAGGCCCCACCAATATAGAGAAGGTCCATGGAAATGTGTCCAAATCCACCGGCAGAGAGCCTTTTTAGAAAGAGGCCAGCCG